ACTCGGGTACGCAGCGAGGCCGGGATGACCACTCGAGTGCCCCATAGTAGACAGCCCTGCAGACTGGACAACTCCTGCATGCGAGTCTTAAAAGGTGTGAATTTGTTATCAACATTACCACCCGGCCACCCCCTCCTCACCCAGTCGAGCACCTGGGCGAGCGTTTGGTCTGCCTTGGTTTTAGCAGCAATGTCCAGGGCAGTGATGGGTAGGTCCAGCTGGGCGATCTCGAAAATAGCGTGGACAGGAGCAGGGTCTTCAGCCGGGGCCGGCAAGGGGCAGCGACTGAGTGCGTCAGCGTGGGACAGTGTTTTACCCGGGCGGTGTATAAGTCTGTAGGAGTAGGCTGCTAGGAAGAGAGTCCACCTTGTCATCTTAGGGGAGAGGACTTGAGGGGTCTGCTTGTCCCCGGCTAGTAGGCCCAGGAGGGGTTTGTGGTCTGTGACCAGCTCGAAAAAATGGCCAAAAAGGAATTCGTGAAATTTTTTCAGGGCTGCAACAGCTGCTAGGGCTTCCTTATCGATCTGGCTGTAATTGCGCTCCGTTGCAGAGAGCGTCCTGGAGAAAAAGGCGATGGGAGCCTCGGCGCCATTGGGAAGCCTGTGACTTAGTACCGCCCCAATTCCAAAAGGGGAGGCGTCTGCTGCCAGTACTAAAGGGAGGTTAGGGTCGAATTGAATAAGTACCGCCTCAGACGTGAGTAGTGATTTGACGGCGTGAAAGGCATGGTCTTCTTTGTGCCCCCAGTGCCACGGTGACTTTTTATCCAGTAATCTGTGTAGGGGTTCAGCAACTGATGCTTTATGGGGTAAAAAGGATGCGTAAAAGTTCAATAGCCCCAAGAATGCCTGTAGTTCAGTTTTGGAGGTTGGAGTGGGTGCCTCGTGGATTGCCTTAACCTTGGACTCCAGGGGGTGAATGCCAGAGGCGTCAATTTTATAACCCAGAAAGTCCACCTGTCTAGTGGCAATGGCACATTTTTCTTTTTTCAACTTGAGGCCATGCTGTCTGAACCTCTCTAACACAGCTCGAACTCTTTGGAAGAGTTGGGGTCTGTCCCTGGCCGAGACTAAGATGTCGTCGAAGTAGGGTACTACACCAGGGAGGCCCTGCAAAATCCGCTCCATGAGGGATTGAAAAATACCCGGGGCAACACTTACGCCAAATTGGAGACGCTTGTATCGGAAGGCACCCCTGTGAGTGACAATTGTCTGGAGTTCCGCTGTTTGGTTATCTACAGGGAACTGCTGATATGCTTGAGACATGTCCAATTTAGCAAAAATGCTGCCTGGTTCGAATGTGTGTAATAAGTGCTGGATGACGGGCACAGGATAAGCGCTAACTTGTAGGAATTTATTGATTGTCGTCTTGTAGTCCGAGCAAATTCTCAGGCTACCGTCTTTTTTGAGGGGTGTGACAATGGGCGTCTCCCACTTGGCGAAATCTGTTGGCTCAATGACCCCTTGTTTTAATAGTTTATCCAATTCCGCATCAAGTTTTGGCCGAATAGCAAATGGGACTCTACGCGGTTTTATCCTGATTGGGACTGCTTGGGGGTCAACTGAGAATGAGATGGGGGTACCGTTATAACACCCCAACTCTTCGCTGAATACATCTGAGTAATCAGCGAATAAGGAGTCAGTGTCTGAGGTTGAGACAGCATGGACTCCTGTTAGCCCTAGGCCGAGATGGGGAAACCAATCGAGCCCCAATAAGGTGGGTAGATTGCCGTTAACTACCACTAGAGGTAGGTGACCTTTAAAAGCTCTAAAACTGACAAGAAACTTGCCTCTGCCGATTACAGGAGTGGTCTTTCCCTGGTAGTCCTTCAGGCCAAACTGGCATCTCTGGAGCCGGCTAGTGGATAGGCTTGGTTGGAGCCTCTTAAGGGTGTTCCACGAGATAATTGAGAGCGCTGACCCTGTGTCAACCTCCATGCGGCACGGTTTACCTTCTAGGGAAATGGAGAGAGAAATTTTACCAACAGTGTGGCAAGTGTGCTTGGCAAGGTGGTGCGTGCGACAGTTCAATACTTGCCTCTGTGGTCCCGAGTGCGAGGGAGGGTGCCTTTGTGCTGCGCTTTGGGGGGCTTGGCAAACTCTCGCGATGTGCCCCCTTTTATGGCAGTTATTGCAGGTGGCTCCTTTAAACTTGCAGGTGGCCCTCTGATGAGATCCCCCACAGGCTAGGCACAGGGTGATGTGCTTGGGTGAACCGATGTTTTCTTGTTTGGCTCCTACCTGCGGCCGTCTGTCGTTGGAGAGGCGGTGGACTTCGTTTTCATCACTGCTGGTTTCCTCTGCTACCACCTCCTCGGAGTGGACTGGAAGTGATGTCAGCTTGGCACTTGGGCCCTGGATTTCGGTGGCTGAGTTTGTTGCCAGCTCAGCTGCCAAGGCCTCCTCGACTGCTTGTGCGAGGTTGAGGTCTTTTTTTGCGAGAAGGCGCCTTTGCAGGTGGAGGTCCTTGACCCCGCAGACTAATTGATCGAGGAGCATGTCCTCCAGGTAGGTTCCAAACCCACAATGCAGTGCTGCTGTTCTGAGAGCGGCCATATATTGATTGATGGTCTCCTTGCTCGACTGCTTCCTCATACGGAAGGTGAATCTCCTGGCAATCTGTGAGGGCCTGGGGGAATAGTGGTTAGTGAGAATTTCAAGTAACTCAGACCACGGAACGTTTTTCAACTCACGAGGAGCCACGAGCGCCGTGGCAGTATCGTAGACGGTGGCTCCACAGTAGATTAGGAAATACGATTTTTTCCGATGCTCTCCCGCATCCGCCAGGCCAACTGCATCGATATAATGATTAAAGCGGTTCTTATACGATTCCCACTTCTCCTCGTCTGGTTTGAACATCGGGAAGACTGGATTTGAACTCATGGTGCTGGGACCGGTTGAACAACCTGTGGAAAAAATCTCTCTGGGGCAGCAGACAATGTTTTAGTGCCCGTGGTGGGCAAGTGATTTCAGCTCAGGAGAGGCTGTTTGCAATCCTCTCTTTCTCTCTGGGTTAACCACGTTTGGCTGTTAGCCGTTGATGGCGTTTGGATTCGCGCCTGTGTGGGCGTCAGTGACTGGCTACAGCGCTGTGCTGTACCTTTTAGGTTTGAAATTCAAATGACAACCGTTTGAATTTCGCGCCTGATACTGAGCGGCTGCGGCTCGCAGCGCTTCACTTTCCCTGTAGCTGGGCTAACAAGCGGCTACAGACGCTTCTAACTTTCGATTCTGACCGCTCTCTCTGGCTGCGGATCAGCGTTTGCTTCTTATCGCTTGCTGGCCGCTTTCTCTGTCAGCGGATCAGCGTTTGCTCTTTTTGTTTGCTCTTTTTGTTTGCTGACCGCTCTCTCTGGCTGCGGATCAGCGTTTCTCTTATCGCCGGCCGATCGCTCTCTCTGGGCTGCGGATCGGCGGCTAGTGACTCAGCGGTTGCATGGTGCTTCTGGTAGCCATCCCATCCTCGTCGCCAGTGTTAAGTTTGAGCAATGAGAGGCTGAACCAGAGCATGAGTGCAACAATACTTTATTATAACAATAAAGGGCTGACCGTGCTTGCCACGCCTGGAACTGGCTCGCAGCAATCAGCAACTGGTTGGACCCCGCAGCCTGCTTTTATAGCAGGCTGCTGGGGAGAACCAACCAATGAGGAAAGGGGGAAGAACGGCCACACAAAGTGAGTGGACCTGAGTGAGAACTCCTAGAGTTCTCAGGACATAACATTTGCCATCCAAGATAAGAACATTCCTGCAATTACAACTCTGCAACCATCAAAACCCAAAATTAAAATCTTATTATTTTCAGTTTCAGTCAAAAAAATCCAAGAGTAGCTTCTGAATGGAAACAAAGCTAGAAACTGTTGTTTCTTTAATCAAAGCAGTCAATTTTGCCATGTCTGCTAACATCCTTGCATATTTCTTTATAAATTATATTTGCATTAACTATATTTAATGCGAATATAATGAATATCTCTTAGAATTTATTCATAGTTGAGCTAATTGCATAATCTCTTTCCGAGACAATTTTATTAATTTTTTAGGACAATGCACAGCTAGTTTATTTCTCAGTATTTGTTTAACAAATACTAAATACACTTCCTGCTAAATTCAAATCCCCAATATCGTTTAATCCAGTCATTGCTACAGAGAACAGAGGGCAGAGACTCCTGGCCTCCTGCCTGTTCCCCTGATATTAAGCCATAGTGCAAATGTACTCTGACAACATATTTTTTTGTTCTCTTTTGCCATGTTGTTGCCTCCAGCCCTGTCTCCAAGCTACGAATGAGAAGGGCTAAGTTGCCCAGAGCTATCTGGTATTAAGTTGCATTTTCTCCTTTACCCTGACATATTTCAAGGGCAGACTCAGCGTGTATAAAACCCATTTAGCATTTCCTTGAAGGGTGATGTAGATGCTAGGAATTAAGCCAGGAGATGGAAAATAGCAAAGGAAAGGAGGAGGTAAATTTTGTTTTGTGCTGACTTTAGGACTTAAAGGCTGTATTTGTGTATGTAGACCAAGGGGCTTGGATGCAGGTAGTCCTAAATTTACAACTATTCATTAAGTAATCATTCAGTGTTACAGTGGCACTAAAAAAAAGTCTAGTTTATCAATGGGAAAAGGCCTACTATCTTCCCACCACCAAGAGCAACTAGCCAATGATTTCCAAAGGGAAATTTTGTGCCCTCCCAAGCTTGCGAGATTTTTATTTATTTATTTGTCAAGTGATTATAAGATAACAGGTATAAGTATAAACATGGTTATGAATACATGAAATGGATACATATAAGAAAAATAAAAAGAAACAATAGGACAGGGATGGTAGGCAAGTTGGTGCACTTATGCACACCCCCTACAGACCTCTTAGGAAAGGGGTGAGGTCAGTAGTAGACAGTCTACTCAAAATTTGGGTGCCTGGCAACTGGAGTCTATTCATGGCAGTTGTAACCTTTCAGACAGATGCATCTCTCCCTATACATTCACAATGTTTGCTTCTTCCTGGTAGGTTTCAGCTATGTGGCTCTACCTAGCTGTCCTGGTGGGACTTTACTTCCTTCGCCGATGGTACCGAGAGAGACAGAGAGTGGAGAAACTGACAGAAAAATATGTCTTCATTACTGGCTGTGATTCTGGCTTTGGGAACCAGCTAGCCAGGCAGTTGGACACTCGGGGTCTGCGGGTGTTGGCTGCTTGTCTCACCGAGAAGGGAGCACAGGAACTGGAGAGACTCACATCAGACCGGTTGAAAACCACCCTGCTGGACGTCACCTGCACTGACAGTGTTGCAGCAGCAACCAAATGGGTGAACTCATGCGTGGGGAACAAAGGTAACCAACTCCTTCTATTTATATTAATGTTCTGGCCATACTTACTGTAGATTGAGGGATTGGATACAGGTAGTCCTCAACATGCAACCATTTATTTAACAATTGTCCAAAGTTACAATGGCACTGAAAAAGTAGCTTACACTTAGTCCTTGCACTTGTGACCATTGCAGCATCCCCACAATAACGGGCTCAGAATTTGGATGCCTGGCAACTGGAGTCTATTCATGGCAGTTGTAGTCTCTCAAGAGTCACATGATTTGTGACAAGCTTCCAGCAAGCAAAGACAACGGGGGAAGCCAAATTAGCTCAATGACCATGTCATTCACTTGACTGCGTAAATGGTTATAAAATCAGGCGTGATTCACTTAACAAACGCCTTGCTTAACAATGGAAATTCTGGTCCCAATTGTGGTCATGCATCGAGGACTGCCTACACTTAATTTCAAATATTAGCTGCTAGGATAAAGTGTTTTATGTCTTTGGCAGCGAGTGAATTTTCCACGAGAATCCAACATTGTCACCATTAAAATGACAAAGGTAGGGAGCTAAAATGAAAGATGTGGTGACAGACTTATTTAATTTTCTTTTAAAAGCAGCTGTTGGGAAATTCTACCTTAATCTAAACACTTTTGGAGAACAAGAGTAAACCATTTATCTCACCCGTGCAATATTTTTATCCTTCATAATTCTCCCAATTATGAGTGTTTTAGCCAGTGGGGGGGTCAACGCATACTGTGCTGCCACACTCATTCACACTCACACGTCAGTGGGGTTTATGGAGGGTTCACCCAGCAGTTCTCTTCCCCCAGCCATAAGCAAGCCCAGATTAATCCCCTAGGCAATGGCCAATTAGTCCATAACACAAACAGCAAGCTCTCAAACAGCGAGTCCAATAAATGAACATAACCCCGCCCCCCCCCCTCCAGGCAAAACTAAAAGTACATCCACATTAGCAGGTTATAGTAATTCAGATTCTCAGGAAAAACAAACAAGCACACAGCCACAATCCACACATGTTGTTACCAGCAACACCTCCCTCTGCCTGCTGTGCAGTTCATCATGAAGGGCAGGGCCTTTTCCCAAGCAACGTGGCAGAGCTACGTTTCTCTGGCCTGCATGCTCTGAGATCCACCATGGCAAGCAGCTCCTCCCCCTCTTCTTCACTGGCCTGCAAGCTGTCCCCAGTCAAAGCCTGTTCTGCTGGCAGTTCAGGGTCAGTAATTCCTGAAGTGCCAGGAATGATCTCATTCTCCCTCTGAGGAAGCATCGGAGGAGTCGTCCAAAGGAGACGCCATGCTTGCGTCAGATTGACGCTCAATGATATCTACACAATAACACCTGTTTCATGACACTTGTACAAATAAATGATGCCACTGTAACCTTTGTCATTCCTCTGATGTTGTCATGGCATGTATCATAACTTCTCTCCCCTCAAGCAACCCCCCCCCAAAAAAAGCCTAGATTGTTTTTTGTTACTTTTCTCCTTATCCCTTTCTGTTTTGGAAAATGGACCATTTTGTCTGTGACAACAAATATATTTCACACAACCCTTAAAAGAATGGCAATGCTCCAGTTCTGAACATAAGTGAGGATTAGAATGACAGGGACATCATGACCATGTATTCTTTCTTCTTACTCAGGGCTCTGGGGCTTGGTAAACAATGCAGGTAAAGGCATACCCATCGCTATCAATGAATGGCTGACGAAGGAGGACTTTGCCAAATTGCTGGATGTCAACTTGCTTGGGCTGATTGACGTGACGTTGCAGATGTTGCCCCTGGTGAGGAGAGCCAAAGGGAGAGTGGTCAATGTAAGCAGTGTGATGGGAAGATTAGCATGCTTTGGAGGAGGGTATTGCCTGTCCAAGTATGGTGTGGAAGCCTTCTCAGATACTTTGAGGTAAGCTTTAACTTTCTCTTTTGATTAGTTGAAGTGCATGGTTCTCTTTCAGCTCCATTTGAAAGAAGTAGATGCACAGATTCAGATAGTCTGAGCTATAGTGATTTATGTAAAACATGGTTGTGTCTCTTAAGGGTTGTCCCAAAGATCTAAACATATAATTTACTTTGCTTGAGATAAACGTGGCACTGGAGGAACAATCTTTTGGTAGGTAGGCAATATCCAAGTAGCAATAGCAATAGCACTTAAACTTATATACTGTTCCACAAGTCTTTACAGTTCTGTCTAATCAGTTTACAATAGCAAATAAGAACAAGTTACAAATAAATGGAGGAACAGAGGAAATAGGAATGAACAAGTTGTCTAGGCATAGCTGGACCTTCACTTTTGGAATAGTGTACTATCCAAACAGTAGTAAATGGAACCAATAGAAAAATTAGATGTTTTACTTTATTTATCTTAAAGCTAATTAAAATGAAATCTATATATATAAAAGCGAAATACCATTCACACATCATCACAAAATCTCCAGAACTGTAAAGCTTACAAACTTGAAATTTGGCACGTATTTCCTCTTGGCTTCTAGGTACTCATAAGAAAGGATTTTTTTGAAATGACCATCAGAGCATTAGTATTTCATATATTATTATTAACATGCTCTGATGCTAAGGAATTCTACTCCCCCTCCCCATCTGAAAAGAAATCTGTTCCAAATGCAAAACACAAGCAGAGGAGAGGAGTTTCAGTTTTAGTTTCACAGCAGCAACCAGCTTTAGTACAGAACAGTTGAGCTAAGCCACGCCCAGGCTCCTTGCTGTCTCTTCCTGCTCACACAACAAATACTGTTTCAATTTCCAGACAGCCCTCAACTCTCTCACATACTGACAGGACGCTAGCCAGATGAATACTGATGGATGCTGGTAGGCAGAGGTGGAATTTTCCCCCCTTATTTTCCTCCCCCCAAACTAAGCCCGATAACATAATTTCGTAGCGAAGCACGGGTATCCAACTAGTATGGAAATAAAAGGCTATTCAGGCATGCCTTTAAATTTTTTCCTATTATATCAAAATTATAATTTACACTGATTTGGGAAACTTCCAGGGATCACAGTTAAGATTTTCATAAGGCTTACCTTCTGCACTTCTGCCCTAAACCTTGCTTTGCATGCTGTGGTTTGTTGAATAAGCTATAATTTAACATGCTAAAATCATCAAATATTTATTGCAAACAGAAATAGCTTGGTTCCTGGAACATGCTGAGCCAAAAAACAAAACAAGCTATATTATCTGATCAATTAAATGCGAGGAGATAATTTGAGTTTGACCGCATAGTGGTCATCCTGATTTTTACAAACTGGAGCTATTAGCCTTATTCTTGGAGGTTTTTCTATTTTGGTTGTGCTTGTTGAAAACAAAAAAAAAAAATATGACAAGCTTTAAATTAGGTTCTAGGAATTAAGGCACACCATCACCACCCCAAGGAGGAAAGGAGATACACTTGCACAGAGACTATCCCTAGTAGTTCTGGAAAAGGTTAAACTGAGTACAGATAGTCCCCAACGTACGACCACAGTTGAGCCCAAAATTCATGTTGCTACGTGAGAAATTTGTTAAGTGAATTTTGCCCCCTTTTACAACATTTTTTTGCCACATTTGTTAAGTAAATCACTGCAGTTGTTAAATTAGTAACACAGTTGTTAAGTGAATCTGGCTTTTCCCATTGACTTTGCTGGTCAGAAGGACACAAAAGATGATCACCTGATCCTGGGACACTGCAGTTGTCATAAGTAGGAGTTACGTAGCAGTTAGCAGTAGCAATTGTCATAAGTAGGAGTTATGTAGCAGTTAGCAGTAGCAGTTCCCAAGCATCTGAATTTGAGCCAGTTGCCAATCATCTGAATTTTGATCACGTGACCATGGGGATGCTACAATAAGTCATAAGTGTGAAAAATGGTCATGTCACTTTTTGCAGTGCCATTATAACTTTGAACTGTTGTAAGTCGAGGACTGCCTGTATTACCCTATTGCACTGATGTCATTTTTTCATTGTATTCTTATTTATGCTGTGCTTGTGGCATCTTAAAAAATCTTAACAATTGAGGCAGATTATAAATATTATTACATAAAACAGTAAAAGCATTTCATCCCTTGACAGTTGTTGCCAATAGAAACACTAACAGATCATCCTGCAAATGCTTTCTAATAGAGACCCTGCTTTTTATTTCCTCAGCCAGCTTTGGGGAGGTTCAGAATATGAAAGAACCATTCCCTGGTGTGACAAGACATTTAATATTAAAATATCCTGACATTGCTCACTCCTTCAGTTAAGAAATGGAAATAGGCACTGCCCTCTAGATTCTATGACTGAACAATGGAAACCTTTGCCTTTACCTGTTATTTATAGCCTGTTTAATAAGTTAAATTAAAAGACAGAACAGCAAGGTTAACCTTTCTGCTTCCCCATGAAATGGTGGTTTCATATTATTTATTTATTTGATTGATTGATTTTTATCCCACCTTTATTATTGTTAATAAACAACTCGAGGCAGTAATCATATCTAATATTCCTTCCTCCTTCTATTTTCTCCAAAACAACAACCCTGTGAGGTGGGATTAGACGAGACCAAAATGGCTTTCTGTCTGAAAAGAGGAGACTTAATGCCTCTACAACTACTTTTATTCAGGAAAAATTGATAAAGATGCTGCTTCTGTCCTTGTCTCATATTTATAAAATGCTGATCGCTTTGATTAAATTCAAAATATTTTTGTTTGTTTCCTTTGAGAAAGGAAGCTATTTATCAGTTTCAAAATTAATCGATTTCTCTGTTGCCCACTTCTTAGTTAATGTGGCTTTTAAAGCAGTCACATCTCTTTTTTAGTTTACCCAGAAGTTTGAAAGATGGCAAGCCCTGAGGTTCTTACCATTCACCTAAATAATAGGAAAATAGCAGTGCAGCTCAGTAGTTACTGGAGGAATTGTTTGCTTGCTTATTCATTAAATTTATGCATTATGAAATTTACAGTATATATTGTCCATCTCGCTGTCAAGCAATTCTGGGAAGCGTACAACATCAATGGACATCATTGACATCATTTTCTGGTCAAGTTGAATTTGAAGACACAAATGTTCAACTAGTTTCCCATTTTGTGTCTTCATCTTATCTCAGTGAATCTATCAATGTCAAATCAAAACATCTAGAGGTCTTTTGTTTTCACCTCTGACAGCTAACATTTGTCCCTTCCTGCTCTACTCTGAAAGCTGAAAAAAACCAATTCCTTTCCATTTCCTCCCTCCACAAAATATCCCAATTGGTAGGAAAGCTGCAGCATTAATTTCATATCCAGAAAGGACATTCACTGCCAATGGTATGTTATCTGGCAAAGGATTCCTAAAGGATGCAGATGCCCATAGGAGATAAGAATGATAGAGGCTTTCTGTCCTTCTATCCATACAGTGAATATAGAAGATGGCCTTGAAGAACAGGGGAAAGGTGTATTGCCCTGGCAACAATCAGATAAATGATCCCAGATCAAGAAATAAACACTGTGTAGACAGGTGTGGGATTCAAATTTCTTAACAACTGGTTCTGTGGGTGTGGCCTAATTTGTGGGTGTGGCTTGGTGGTCATGTGACTGGGTAGGGATGGCTTGCTGACTGGGCATGGCTTGGTGGTCATGTGACTGGGTGGGCATGGCTTGTATGTGAATATTATAAATATTTATGTAAATGTTGATTTTTTTTATAAAAAAAGAATGACGTTTACCCAAAAGCAGGCAAAGCAGGCAGGCAGATTGAGTTGCTCACAGAATCACAGATTAAGTTAGAGATCTATTTATCTGCAATTGTCTAACTGAGTCACATAAAATTCGCTTGCAAGCAAACTCACAAAATTAACTCACAACACACCATTTTTTTTCAAAAGCAGCAGATGACCAAGGGAACTTTTCCTGATTTTTTTCAATATGAAAAATGCAAACTGTATGTTGTCACATGATCGTTCCAAGAAGCATTAGCGAATGAAAGAAGAAACTGAAAAGAGATTGGTGTTGCTGTAAAGCTGGATGCCATTCCTTAATTGTTCCACTTTTTTTTTAAAGGACATGCATTTGCTGTCCAGTCTGGGAAAAATTAATTTTGGACTCTTTTTTAAAAAAATCCTGACATACATCTGCCAGACACAAAAAATCCTTTATAGCTTGGGAAAGTAGACTGAAATAAATAAGTAAACAGATATCTTAGTCTGTCGAAAAAATATATGTTTAAAGATACATATGGACACAAAACTGATACCAACATGACATAATATTTTAACTAAAGAGAAAAAGAAAGAAAGCTATAGAAATGTTTATCTTAAATTAAGCAATTTCCCCAGATTTTACCAATTTGCTTGAAAGTGCTTTTCCCTACCTCCTTATTGAACAAATATATAGAAGTTGAGCAAGAAAAGATAAATGTGCTGCAGATTTATTCTATGTTCCTTAATGAGTCTAGCTATTTCTTCATATGCAAAAAGTCTACACTTGGAATTTAGCATTCAAAACAGATTTTTGCAGATTTGTGTATTCTTCATTCTGCATCTCCTTATTCTTCCTTTTCGTTCTATTCAGGCGTGAAATGTCTCCATTTGGGATAAAGGTCAGCATTATTGAACCTGGTGCTTTCAGTACAAGCATTCTACAATCTACATTAGAGAGCTTCCAGGCTTCATGGAACAAAGCACTTTCTGAAACCAAAGAAGTCTATGGACAGCTATACTTTGAAAACTGTGAGTTGAAATTTGGGAAACCAGGCTATAGATTGCATATACAGTATATTTGGCTGAGGGAGGGTATACCACAAATGCAGAACCCATTACGGTTCAAAAACCATAGAAGACTTGGGAAATATCTATTCTATATAACTACTTCAGAAGCTCATTATCTGTCTAAAATGAGAAAACAGTAATGTGAAACTTGATTCCACACTGCTACTTATAAGCATTGACATGTGTCAGGTCCAAGTCCAGAGATGATAGGGCAGAATCTGAATTCCATCCTTCATTTGCTTACACCTAATGGACAGATTCTTGCCAATTTAAAGCTATAAATCTCTAACTCAGGGGTCCCCAACCTCCGGCCTGCAGCTCCATTTGCGTGAGCGCTGAACCAAACCTCCCCAGGTGGACCACCATGGCCTGTGTAAGCTCCACTTGCCCAAGTGTGCAAGCAGCGGGCACTCATGTGCTAATGGAGCTGCACATGTGTCTGCCACTCATACAAAATCGTCCCCTCTCCCCCCACCTGCCGGGCTACCAAACTGGAAAGGTTGGGAACTGCTGTTATAATCTGCTACTGTATTTCCCCGAAAATACAACCGATCCCAAAAGTAAGTCCTAGCTTGATCCAAGCCGAAGTCCAAATGCCCTGCCCACTTCTTCAGCAGCCGCTTACACACACACACACACATACACACATGCACCCAATATAAACCCTACACCCAAAATAAGCCTAACCCACTCTGGGGTGCACAGAGTGGGGTGAGGCGCACGGGTAAAAATTAAGCTAGGTGGGGATGGGGATGGTGGAGCTGCCCTACTTATCAGGCCTCTCACACCCCGACACCTGCCTTGCCCACTCCTTCTGCGGCCACTTGCTGATGCTTGCACATACACACACACACACACACACACACACACACACACCAAAAATAAGACCTGGTACTTTTTTTGGTTCTGGAAAAAATATAAAACTGGGTCTTATTTTCAGGAAAACATGGTAGCTGTATTGTGAGAGATTCTACAGATGGCTACCCTGAACAGCTTCTCCCTTCTCCTGACATTAAGCTGCAGTCTGTTAATCTGGCCTGTCTCCAGGAAAGCTTTGTGTTGCCAAAACTCTCACCCACTACTCTTCCTTTTTTTTATAAAAAGTTTTTTATTTTTAACAACAAACAGACAAACATAAACATAAAACAACAAATAAAACCTTTCAATTATACAGTGTGTTGGTTGGTACATATTTCTTGTGCACAATATCTATGGTCTTTTCCTCTTAGATTTAAGTTTGCATTCATATTACATTAATCAATTTTCCATGTCATATTAGATTATTACATCATCATTAGACTTTAATTTCAAATCCACATTATCCTTTAGAGCAAATCTCAATTCTTATTAATTTTAATCCATATTATAATTCATTCCATAATAATCAATTATAACATATCATTGCTATTGTATTTTACTTCAATTTCCTACTTTTCTATCCAACCATTGGTAAAATAAATCCCATATCTTAAAATATTATTTTTCTTCTTGTTCTCTCATTGCTAATGTTAATCTACTCATTTCTGCACATTCCATTATTTTCTTAATCATCTCGTCCTCTATCGGAATTTTCTCATTTCTCCAAGTTTGAGCAAATACAATTCTAGCTGTAGTTAAAACATTAATAATCAAATATATCAATTCTCTGTTGTAACCTTCAGATAAAATTCCCAATTAAAATATCTCTGGTTTTAAATCTATGTGCTGTTTTGTCATTTCTTCCAGCCATGTGTATATTTTAGTCCAGTATCTTTTAGCTTCCACACACGTCCACCACATATGGTAATATGGTCCAGGTGTCTGATGACATTTCCAACACTTTGCTGATTTATCCTTGAACATCCTTGCTATTCTTGCTGGGGGCAAATGCCACCTGTAAAACATACAAATTATCTTTATATGCTGTCAACATTGTTAGTTTATAGTTTCTAATCCAAAGTTTCTGCCATTTTTCTAGATCTATCCCACATCCAAAATTTTTCCCTCAAGCAATCATTGTTTCTTTAACTTGTTCTTCTTCTAATTTCACTCCTAGTAAATAACCATATAATTTTTAATCGTCCTCTCCTCAGTACCTGTTAAGATTTTATCTAATTCAGTAAGTTCTTTGTAAAACCCTTCTGTCTTACTGTCTTTATCATATCTAGAATGTATTTGCACATATGAATACCAATTCATCCTTATCTCTTGTTCATCTAATTCTTGCTTTGTTTTAAGTTCACCCTTTTCATTTAAAATTTCATTATATCTAATTATGTGTTCCATTTTAAAAACAATTGGATGCGCAAATGCCTCTATAGTTGATAACCAGACTGGTATTTTCATATAATGTTGTTTCCTTATTTTCTCCCATATTAACAATAAAGCATCTCGAATATAATGTCTCCTAAAATACCCATGTGCTTTGCTTTCCTTATACCATAAAAATGCATGCCACCCCAATTGTAAATCATGGCCTTTCACTGTTAACAATCTAGTATTTCTCAAAACAATCCATTCTTTCACCTACATCAGTGTTACTGCCTGGTAGTATAATTCCCAATTGGGTAATCCAAAACCTCCTCTCATTCTAGTGTCCTGTAACAATTTTAATTTAATTCTTGCCTTCTTTCCTTGCCATATATATTTCAACATTATTTTGTTTAAGTCCTCAAAATATTATTTCCCTAATTTAATTGGAATAGTCTGAAACAAATATAATATCCTTGGTAGTATATTCATTTTGATTGTAGATATTCTCCCTATTAGAGATAATTGTAAATTTTCCCATTTTTTTCAAATCTGACACAATCTGTTGTTTTAATTTATAATAATTATCTTCCTTTAATGTTCCACATCTTGCTGTTAGGTGTATTCCCAAGTATTTTACTTTGTTTGTGTTCTGGATATTCAGTCTGTCTGTCAATTCTTTCCTTTGTTTTTCCATCATATTCTTAACTAAGATCTTAGTTTTATCTTTATTTATTTTTAATCCTGCCCCGTCCATATTCTTCTATCTTTTCTATCAATTTAGACGCTGTTTCCAATGGTTCTTCCAATATGAAGACCAGACCATCTGCAAATGCTTGTAATTTATATTCCTTCTTTTTTATTTTCATTCCCTTTATTTCTCTATTTTCCCTAATATTTCTATTTAATACTTCCAAAGTCAATACAAATAACAGTGATGAAAGAGGACATCCTTGTCTAGTTCCTTTTTAATATTAATATTGTCTGTCAAATCTCCATTTATCATTACTTTTGCAAATTGTTTATGATATATTGCCTCAATTGCCTTAATGAATCTTTCTCCAAAGCCCATCTCTTCTATTTACAATAACATAAATTGCCAATTTACATTGTCGAAGGCTTTTTGAGCATCTAAAAATACCAAGGCCATTTGCTTCTCTGGATGTGTGTC